GTAAGTGCCAAAATTATACCATTTATCACTAAACACAATTAAAATATAAGAAATTTGATACTAAAAATATGCATAAATGGGAACTTATCAAACGTCCCCACACTAAAGCTTTTGCTTGTCGTCAAGCAAACAATTTTATAACTAGTCAAAACCAAATTGAGGTGTGTTCATTCTACCTAGACTTGTAACAATTAAGAATTGGACTCAAGGATAGTGGATAGATGTGCACAACATAACAATTAAAACATAACAATTAAATGTACTTAGACTTCTAAATCATTTAAATAGAAAGTTAAAGCATAATCATGGGTCAAGCCAAGACCGTACGTGTGTGCATCAATATGTACATGTTGATAGTATGAAATCAACTACCTTACCATCACCAATACATACAACAAATTTAGAATCGTAACTATAGGGCAGCTATGTTTATGATAATCATAACAAATTTATCACTTTAAGCATTTATTTATTAATTATTGACATTGAGTGTGTTTTATGCTCCATCTTATCTTTTTCAACTCGCTTGATTGCTATAAACTCGGATAGTGAATTAAGGGCCTTCCTTAATGTGTAGATTTATACTTATTTGTTTTCCACCTTCAAGGTAAATCCTCTTTATAGACGTGAAGGCCCCTCACTTTTGGTGATTGCCTCCGAGTTACTCGGAGAATCCCTTCTCGGGGTGCTTTGCATACTCATATCTTCATATAAGACATTGGAGTAGTTTTATTTGAAGGCCACATTCAACTATCCTAGTTTAGGTTCAATAGGTAAGTAGTCACATTTATTCATTTAAGCATTAACATTTAGACTTCGTACATGTAATCAAACATAACCGCCTTATAGGTAAAGTTCGAATCTCACCATTCGGATTATGAAGTAAGCATAAGTTTTCATTCGTAATTTCAACAAGATATAATGATAAGCGCTTAGTATATAGTCTATGGCTTAACATACAATCATGCTAAAAAAATTCAAAAGTTAAGTTTAAAGCAAAGAATATTAATCATCACTTCATGCGGGCAAACAACTATGCATTCCTATCGTAGGCCGGATATTGTCACTCCTAGGCAAAAAGAGAACACACGTAATCTGCTTTGACGTAATAAAGCATTCTGCAAAAGTTTACCCCTTCCCCATATTAAAAGATGTACATTGTCCCTAATGTACAAAATAAAGGACAATGTACATCTTTTAATATGGGGAAGGGGTAAACTTTATTTTGTACATTAGGGACAATGTACATCTTTTAATATGGGGAAGGAGTAAATGAGGTACTAGAACTTCACTAAAAAAAAGAGCACATTTTCTAAAAGTTGGTGTGAATTCCATATAGTTTCGCACATAGCCTTGCAAAAGAAAATGAAAAGAGAAAAAGAAATGAAATAAAAAGAAAAAGGAAAAGAAAAAGAAAAATAAGTAAACGAGTAAAACATGAAAAAGAAATAACTAAGCCTAGAAATACTATGGTTCAAACTAACATCATAACAAAACACAAAATAATATCGGTTTAGCAAGGCTAGTCCTTTGCCACCGTGAAATTGAAGGATATGACAAAACTATACAAGTCAAAATAATGATCATGGCTCGCAGTGCTCTATATCATCCGAAGACTACCGTGGTGCTGAAGCTAGCCGTAGGACCATCATAAGTGCTCCATCAATCGGGTCTTATGAGGTGCGGGACTCTCATCATGTAACAAAATTTTAAAAAGAGTAGTCTATTACATGGGTGCCGACACGGTCGTGTCCCACCCCAAGTAACACTCGTGATCTAAAAACAAAAGGCGAGTTTGTTACATGGATATGGACATAGACGTATCCTACCCCGTGTAACTCTCTATAATTTAAAGCAAAGAGCAATTTGTTACATGAGTACGGACGGAGCCGTGTCCTACCCCATGTAACTCTCCGTAAGTCGAATACTTGCACGGAGTGTATTTTAATGTCCTTTTGATCTGCAAATGCCCACAACACTTCGAAAACTTGGTAATTTTTCACCTTCCTCTATTTTTTTTTATAAAATTTTAAAATTGCAAAAGAACTAGAATAACACGAAATGAAAATAGCGAGTTGAAAAATAAGCTTGGGTTGCCTCCCAAGAAGCGCTCGTTTAACGTCATTAGCTTAACAAGCTTTAAGTTCATCGTTTATCGGTTGGAGATTGAACTCCTCTCTACCAAGGTTGTTAATGTGCCCTTCGAGATATAACTTCAACCAATGACAATTTAGCTTAAATTTACCTTTATCCGAATGTGTTATTTCTATGGTGCCATAGGAAAAAACTTATCTTATCGTGAATGTCTTGACCAGCAAGATTTAAGCTTACCGAGAAACAATCAAAGTTGGGAGTTATACAAGAGTACTTGATCTCCCTCCTTGAATAGTTTGGCTTGCTTAATATTGCGATCATGATACTCGCTTGCCATTTCTTTATACGAGCTTTGCATTCTCATAGGCTACCAAACGCCATTCGTCAAGCTCATTTATTTGAAGTTTTTTGTTCTCACTTTTAAGATCAAGGTTACAATTGACAAACTTGATTGACCAATATGCTTTATGTTGAAGTTCAATAGGTAGGTGGCATGCTTTACCATACACTAACCTATAAGGTGTGGTGCCTATAGGTGTTTTATATTTTGTTCTATAAGCCCATAGAGCATCTTCTAGCTTTTCGGACCAAACCTTCTGCGGTGCTCTATGCTCTTTTTTACAATCCTCTTTAGTTCCCTCTTTGCTACTTCAACTCGACCACTAGTTTTTGGATGGTAAGGGGTAGCAACTCTATGTGTAACACCATACTTCAAAAGCACTCTAGAAATTTATGTATTACAAAAGTGTGTGCCCCTATCACTTATAATTTCCTTAGGGAACTAAATCGTGAAAATAGCTTTTTCGAAACTTTACCACTACCCTATCATCATTAGTGGGTAAAGCCCGAGCTTCAACCCATTTAGACACATAATCAATTGCAATAAGAATATATTTATTACCATTCGAATCGGGGAAAGGGCCCATGAAGTTAATGCCCTAAATATTGAAAATTTCACATACCAATATATAATTTTAGGGCATTTCGTCACGGTCGGAGATGTTACTTGATCGTTGACAATTAGCATAAGATTTCACATACCTTTGGGCATCCCGAAATAATGTAGGCCAATAAAAACCCGACTCAAGCACTTTTTGAGTTGTCCTGTTTGCATGGTAGTGTCCACCATTGGGTCTTGAATGGCAATGATCTAAGATTTTCCATCCTTCCGAGTAGGACACGCATCTCCTAATAATCTGGTTTGCATAAATCATGAGCACATATGGATCCTCCCAAAGGTAGTTCTTCAACTCGAAAAGAATTTCTTCTTTTTCTAATGAGTGAGTCCCTTAGGAAGGATCTTAGCGAGCCAAATAATTAGTGATATCAGCAAACCAAAGGGTTTCAAGGTTACTTACTTATGTAATGCCGTAGAGGCGCTCCTCCGGGAATGCATCATTGATTTCCTCTTCATCAAGTTTTTCCAAATGAGGGTTCTCCAATCGAGATAGGTGATCTCGTCGCCAAGTTCTCGGCTCTCTTTTTATCCTTGATTTCTAAATCAAATTCTTACAACGAGTAAGATCCACCTAATCAGCCTAGGTTTAGCATCCGGCTTGTTCAACAAATATCTTAATGCGGAATGGTCAATGATACCATAACATTGGATAGAATTAAATAAGGTCTAAATTTATCAAATTTAAAAACTACGGCTAGTAATTCTTTTTACGTGGTAGTATAATTCTCTTGTGCATCAATCAAAGTTTTGCTAGCATAGTAAATGGGTTGAAATTGCTTATCTCTATGATGTCCAAGGACTGCACCATCTACAAAATCACTAGCATCACACGTTAGTTCGAAAGGAAGATTCTAATCTAGGGTAACCATTATTGGGGCATCAATCAATTTTTCTTTCGAGTGTTAAAAGCATCTAAACACTCCTCATTGAAAACAAAAAGGATATCTTTCTCAAGCAACTTGGTTAAAGGCTTAAAAATTTTAGAAAAGCCTTTAACAAATCTTTGATAAAAGCCTACATGACCTAAAAAACTTCTAATAGCCTTAATTGAAGTTGGGGGAGGTAGTTTTTCAATAGTTTCAATTTTTGCTCTCTCTACCTCAATCCCCTTATAAGAGATTTTATGGCCTAAGACTATGCCCTCTTGTACCATGAAATGATATTTTTCCCAGTTTAAAACTAGATTAGTTTCTTCACAACATTCAAGCACTCTTTTCAAATTATAGAGGCATAAATCAAAAGATTACCAAAAATAGAAAAATCATCCATAAATACCTCCATTATGTCCTCCACCGAGATCATAAAAAATGTCCATCATGCACCTTTGGAATGTAGCAAGTGCATTGCATAACCCAAACGGGACCCTCCTATAGGCGAACGTACCATAGGGACACGTGAATGTAGTTTTCTTGGTCTTGCGGGGCTATAGGAATTTGAAAGTAGCCTAAAAGACCATCTAAGAAGTAGTAATATATGTGTCCCACTAGTCGCTCTAGCATCTTATCAACAAATGGGAGGGGAAAGTGGTCCTTCCTAGTGGCATCATTCGGCTTTACGTATTCGATACACACTCTCCACTCGGTGATTGTTCTTGTTGGAATCAGCTCGTTCTTTTCATTCGGGACCACTATCATCCCTCCTTTCTTTGGAACATCTTGAACAAGGCTCACCCAATAACTGTAAAAAATAAGGTAAATCACTCTTGCATCAAAAAGTTTAATTACCTCGGCTTTTACAACTTCCTTTATATTTGGATTAAACTTCCTTTGAGGTTACATTACTCGGTTTAAACTCATCCTCCATCAAAATTTTATGAGTGCAAAAAGAGGGGCTAATTCCTCTAATATTTGAAATTTTCCAAGCAATAGTCCTCCGATGCTCTCTAAGAACATTTAACAATTTTTCTTTTTGGTCTATCTTTAGCTTCGAAGAAATTATTATCGGTAACTTTGAATCTTTTCCAAGAAATGCATATTCTAAGTGTTTTGGTAAAGTTTTCAATTCCAAGTTCGGTGGATCCTCAAGGGAGGGTTTTAGTCTTATTTCTTTACCTCTGTCAATCTCCTCAAATGCCTTATTTCGAACCATGAACTCGGTAGCCTCTAGATGGGCTACTTGCTCAAGTCCAATGGGGTCATATCCATAATCTTCCTCACCTTGAATAATACATAGCTCTAATGAGTCATCATACATAATTCCCTATATAGATTCTGAAACTCGTAGTATCAATAGCATGAATAAAATAACATTTGTCATCATGTTCAAGGTAGTGTCTAATAGATTTAGATATAAGAAAAGTTACCTCTTCATCCCCGACCCAAAGAACAAGTTTACCATCACTAACATAATTAATAGCTTTAGCGATAGCCAAAAATGGTCATCCTAGGATTAAAGGTACTCCTACATGTTCATTCATGAAAAAAAAACTAAAAAAAACAAAAACAAAAGCTTAAGACATAAAATAACTATAAATGGAACCTAGTTACTTTGCTTGAATTTCCTAAAGGTTGTTTAGGCTTTCTCCTTCTTTCTTTTCTTTCTTCTTTCTTTTTCCTTTGCTTTCCTTTCCTCTTCCTCTCTTTCCTTATCGTTTTTCTCTCACTTTTGTGTAGCTAATGGCTAGCTAAAATTTTCTTCCATTCTCACTTATTCTATATATATATATATATATGATTAAAATATTAGTATAATTAAGTGTACAAATGTCTTAATTTAATTTGGGAGAGTGGAAAGCTATTGGTGAGTCAAGAGAGAGAGTTTGGCGGGTTTGATGGGTTTGGGGTGAGCTAGCCTTAATTCATTAATTAAGGGGGCTTATGTGTCCTAACTAATTGGTTAGACTAACTAAACACTCTAACTAATGTATTTCAAGTAACTAAACATCCCTCTCTCTCACAATGTTTCGGAAATTCCTCACCTTAAACTTAGAATTGCTTCCCAAAAATATTCCAACGAGTGATGCCTTTAAATCGGTCCGTACTAAAATGGCTATAACTCTTTATACATAGGTATAAAATCATAAACTTTTACAGAGAACTAGTAGACACATAGATGAGCAACCTTTATTCTTTAAGTTGTACCCATCAATTAATCGAAAGTCCTCAAATAAATCATACAAAATTCGGTTAGAATATAGTCCTCAAAACACTCGATTTTGCATATTTGATTTCTTTAATAATTAAACCATTAATCTTCACCATAATAACCTTAATTTAAAATAAATCACACATTTCAAGCATTAATTTCTCATTGTTTAATAAGAATTATTACACTTAATATATGCATATATGTAAATATTTCTAATACGTATCGTTTTTTATCGGGGTTATAATTCTCCCCTCATTAAAAGAAATTTGATCCTCAAAATTGACTCATACAAATAGTTCTAGGTATTTTTCTCTCATTTCTTCTTTATATTCCTAAGTCATTTCCTCAAGGTCATGATTTTCTCATAAAACTTTAACTAGACTAATCTCCTTATTCCTTAGTTGTCTAACTCGCCTATCGAGAATCCGAACCGATCTTTCCCCATAGGTTAAGTCCGGGGTCGGGTTTGGCGGCTCTGTCTTCAAAATTTGGTCGGGCTTTTCAACAAACTTTCTTAGCATAGACACATGAAACATAGTATGCACTCCTTCGAGGATGGCAACGAGCATCGGGTAATAGGCCTTATCGCCTACTCGGTCCGATATTTCAAAAGGTCCAATGTATCGTAGACTTAACTTTTCTTTTTCCCAAATCGTAGTACACCCTTCATTAGTGAAAATTTTAAGAATACATAGTCGTTTACTATAAAATCTAGATCCTTCCTCCTCTTATCGACGTAGCTTTTCCGTCTACTCTTAGTTGTTCTCATCCATTGGCAAATTTTATCCACCACTTCGACCATTTGTTGCACCAGCTCCGGTCCCAACAACTTCTTTTCCCCTATCTCATCCCAATGCACGAGAGATCTACACATTTGCCCATAAAAGGTTTCATAGGGAGCCATCCCAATTAAAGCTTGGTAACTATTGTTATACGAAATTCAGCTAAGCGTATGTATTTCTCTCAATTTTTAAGACCAATCTAGAAAGCATGCTCATAACATATCTTTAAGAATCCGGATTACTCACTCGGATTATTCGTTGGTTTGCGAGATGATATGCGGTGATGAAGTTTAGCTTTGTCCCCATTGCCTTATGTAGACTCTTCCAAATGCGAACGTGAACCTAGGATCTCGATTGGACATAATTGAGATCGGAATCCCTTGTAGTCTTACAATCTCTTTAAGATACAACTAGGCGTACTAGTTCGGATTATAAGTGGTTTTGACCGGAAGAAAGTACACTCGATTTGGTTAGTTATCAACGATCACCCAAATGGCATCCGACCCTCTTTTCGATCTTGGCAATCTTATGATGAAATCTATAGTTACATGCTCCCACTTCCATTCCGGAATTGCCAACGGTTTTAACATTCTTGTGGGTCTTTGGTGTTTTTCCTTTCTATTGATAGATTTGACACCTTACCACAAAATTAGCTATATCTTTCTTCATTTCAAGCCACCAATAACATTGTCATAGGTCCCAAGTACATCTTTGTGCTTCTTGGGTGTATTGAATAGGGGGTTGTGTGTGCTTCTTTTAATATCTCTTCCTTCACATCCTCCACCGAGGGAACATATAACTTTCCTTTAAATCTAATTACGCCTTTATCATCCATCATAAAATTGAATTCCTTCTTCGCCTCTATGTTTTTCTTTAATTCATTCAGTTTTTTATCCGTTTCGTTGCCTCATCGAAATTCTTTCCTGCAAAGTCGATTTGGACTAATAAAGCCGATAAAATATTCTCATGCCCTATCGAACTATCTCCAAGTCTAGCTTTTGTAGGTCTCTCACTATTGATGGTTGGATTACCCACATTGTTGCTATCAATTTTCTACTTAAGGCATCGTAACGGCGTTAGCTTTTTCTAGGTGATAATTGATTATATAGCCATAATCCTTCACTAGCTCTAACTACCTTCTTTGTCTCATGTTCAGCTCCTTTTGTGTGAAGATATATCGAAAGCTTTTATGATTCATATATATCTCACACGTGGCCCCATATAAATAGTGTCTTTAGATTTTTAGGAAAAAGACTACCCTTGCTAGTTCTAGATCATACGTTGGATAATTTCATTCATATTCCTTCAATTGTCTTGACACATAGGTGACTACCTTTCTATTCCATATTAACACTCGCTCCTAGCCCATTTTGGGAAGCATCACTCGTAAACCACGAAATCTCCATGTTCGGATGGGATAGTTAGCACTAGGGTCATGACTAACCTTCGCTTCAATTCTTGGAAGCTTTTCTCATAGGCATCCATCCATTGGAACTTAATGCTCTTTTTTATCAAATTAGTAAGAGGCCTAGCTATCTTAGAGAAGCCCTTCACAAATCTCCGATTGTAACCAGCTAGCCCCAAGAAGCTTCGTACTTTCATCATGTTCTTTAAGGTAGGCCGATTCCGGATAGCCTCTACCTTCTTTAGATTTATCGCTATGCCTTCTTTTATCACCACATAACTTACAAAAGCTACTCGCTCTAGCCAAAATTCATATTTCTTGAATTTGGCATATAGATGCTACTCCATTAGCATCTACAAGGTGGCTCTTAGATGCCCCTTATGCTCCTCCATACTTCGAGAGTAAACTAGGATATCATTGATGAATACGATGATAAAATTGTCTAGGTAATCTTTAAAGACTCGATTCATCAAGTCCATGAAAGTAGGCTGGGCGATAGTCAATCCAAACGACATTACTAGGAATTTGTAGTGGTCGTATCTTTTCTTGAATGCCGTCTTCTTCACATCTTTCGATTTTACCCTCGACTCGGTGGTATCCCGACTGCGGATCTATTTTGCGAACACCATCACACCTTGTAATTGATCGAACAAATCATCAATTTGGGATAACGGGTACTTATTTTTCATTATCACTAGATGTAATTCTTGGTAGTCAATGCATAGCCGTAGCTAACATCCTTCTTTTTCATGAACAATACCGGAGCTCCCCAAGTTGAGGAACTAGGACGTATAAAACTCTTATCCGGTAAGTCCTATAGCTACACCTTCAACTCTTTCAATTCAACTAGGCCATTCTATAAGGAGTCTTAGAAATCGAAGTCGTGCCTCGCTCCAACTCAATCTTAAATTCTATCTCCCTCTTCGATGGCAATGTAGTGAAATTTTCTAGAAATACATCTAGATACTCCCGGACGATTTTTATATCATCCGACTTTGACTTTTCTCTACCCGGCTATCCATTACTTGTGCTAGATACCTTGTACATCCTTTTCCTAGCATTCTTTGAGCCTTTATGGCCGAGATGATCGGTATGGGTTAGAACTTCATATCGGCCTTAAACTCTAACGATTAATCTCTAAGTAGATCAAAACCTACTCTCCTCCCTCGATAATCAATGGTGGCACCATGCCTCATTAACCAATCCATTCCCATAATCAAATCAAAATCTTAGAGGTCCAATAAGATCAAATCAGCCTCCAAACTCCTATCCTAAATTCAAACTGGACACTATTTGACTAGGCTCGTTGACTCCGTAAATTCTTCGGAAGGGACTACTATTAGATAGCCTATTGCCAATGTCTCGGGTTTCACACCTAGGCTTTCTACTAATGTTTTCGATATGAATGAATGTGTGGCACCGGAATCAATTAAAACACAAGCAATCACACAAGGATGCGGACATTACCGCATATTATTGTCGTGTCCCTCTTGTCGGCCTCCTCCTAGGTCATTGTATAAACCCATGCATGTACTCTTCTCGGTCTTGGTTTTTGTGTTTGAGGATAGTTAGAGGCTATGTGCCCTTGCTTATGATAGACATAACGGACCCTCAAATCTGGTCGGCACTCCCTTATGTGGAATCTTCCACATTTATTACACCAAGATTGATTACCCATTATTGGCGTTGGTCGATTCCCTAATAGTGGCCTCGGGGCATAAGGTGATGGTCCGGTAGCCTATGCATTTCCTAGACCACCAATTCGGTTGAAATTTCTAGGCAAAGCTCATCTTTGTGATCCAAAGGAAGAGGCTCCGGTCGAAATGATTGCCTCCTCTCGCTGAACTTCCTTTGCAATTTCCTTGTGATCTTCATCTACCAACACCGTTTTATCTACCATTTCGAAAACGTGTAGGTGGTAGACA